ATCAAATCCCTTCAAACAGTGGTAGGCTACACGACCTACTCTTGACTTGTTCGTATTCTCAGATGGAGCTCTAATAGACGACCGATCAGGTGCGGGCTATGTCATCTACCGAAGTCTTACGCAAGAGATTGGACGAGGATCACTCCCGCTCGGAAACTCGGCAGAAGTATATGATGCAGAAATTGCCAGGGCCACTGAAGGTCTTGCCGCAGCTCTTCGCAACCCACCGGCCTATTATGCCTCTAACGTCACTGTCTGCCTTGATAACCAGGAGGCTGCCATCCGTCTGCTCTTGGATACACCCACAGCGTCCAGCTCGGCAAAAATACTAACCTTTCGCAAGCTTGCAATGAACTGTAAAAGAAGATCACGCGGTCAAAATATGACGCCTGGGGAAGTGGCTAACCGATAGTGCCCAAGCCACACAGGTATTCTCGGAAACGAATCAGCCGACACGCTTGCCAAAGCTCCAGCTCCAAACTTAGAACTCTCCATTGCGAGGGCAAGGAAAGAAATCCAAGCCCAATACGAGGCTTTAGTCGCACTATATTGGGCAGAAAATGCCCCTTCTAGATACAAAGAACTAGGAATTGGCCCTAATACGAAAATCACCGTTGAGCTCGCCCGTCTGGGGCGACGCGCACTTGGATATCTACTAGCTTCACGGTCCGGTCATGGCGACTTCGCGGACTACCACTGACGGTTTCAGCATGAAAACGCCATTCTAACCTGCACGTGCGGAGAAGAGAAGTCCCCTAACCACTTTTTCTATTGCCACCTCGGGCAATACCAAGCTCAGCTCCACAGGGCACAGAACTCTAATCCCAGCGTATCCTGGGCTCTTGCTTCGGCGGAGTGAGTTGATGCAATCAATAATTGGGTGCGTGTCACAGATTTCTTTGAAAGAGCACAACGAACAGTCTGATTTGAACGAAATCACGATCTGATGTAAGCAATCTTCTCCTCTTATTTTTTTAATGTTTTGTAAAATATTTTCTTGATTTAGTACCAACGGCATAGCATGAGATTCGTTGGACGGACGTCCTTCATGTACACTATAATCTTCGAGCGTAGGATGACAAAATCCTAGCTATTGTCTGCTTCGGTGGGTCTGTGAGGGCGCCAACTCGTCGGGTAGTTTAATTTAGACTGGGCTAACCGGTACGTGAGGAACTCACATGATGTGCGCGGGCATGACGTTAAATATTATAAATAAATAAAGTAGGGCTCTCTAGTCAACATCTACAACTTAATACCGTGTCCCACGTATCTTTCTTAAGAATTCCTAATAATTAATCAATAATCAACCACATACTGAATTTACCTCAACAGTTGTTTTTATTTCCTCGTTTTTGGTTTCGGTACTACTCAGCTGTGCGGAGAGCAAGACTAAACACGCGTATGCGGTGTCCTCTACGAACCTGGGAGTGAAATATTCCCCCAGAGCCAAGTTCAGTCAAATTCGCAATTCCGAAGAAGTAGGCCCACGAGGCAATGATCCAAGACTCTACGAAATTAAACTCTCCCAAGGAGATCGGTCTCCACGGAAACTGCATCAAATTTACAAGTACGACTTAGTACATCATCGTTTCAATGACCACACCTCTCGTCGACTTTCTCTGGCCTCAGCCGGTCACCAAATACACGCCCACGCCGATATTTATACCCGACAGAGGAAGCAAAGCGTAGTGCACAAATCTGGGAGGCAGTTCTCTGGGACGGACATGAGAGGGATCAGGACGACTTCACCAAATGATGCAGAAGATGGATACAATCTCGATAGGCATGAAATTTTGATTTTTGGTAGATAGTTTCACGAACTGAGCTTTGTGCGCGTCAAGAATTCGATTGAGAGAGTGCGGCTTACAATATAGTAACAAGCCAACGATGGAAGGTGTTCTGGTCCGCCTCTTGGTGGTATTCTCTAGCAAAGTTTGAGTAGCTTCGGTGGCTACTCCACTCGGGAAGGAGACGCCTAAGACCATATTTCGCGCGGAGAAACATTAATGATGGAGGCATGTCTGGATAACTCGGGGGTTTTGAGATGATTCCCTGGGTGGGTGTTCAAAGATGAGAGTTGACTTGGAGTGAAGAAAAAGCTACCATAACTTGGCAGTGGTACTTGCAAATGAAATCCGAGGCATGAGTGCTCGTATCTTTAATTGAGTGAAATAATAGTCGTACAAATAGTTGTCTCATGTGGGCGGTGAATAGAGGCAAAATACTGGCTAGCGCCTTGGCATAGACGGCTTCTGAATAGTAATATAATCCGAAGCTCGAGAGAGGATAGAAGCACTCTTACTGAGCCCACATCCGCTACACAAAGTGAATTACCCCTCTCAAACCCACATTGACTCATCTATTATATACTTCTCTGATATTGTGTCATAGCCAGATAGCCACATCCGCAATTAAAATCTGATGCAAAAAAAATCTTCACGCTTCCTCGCGCATCAAACGGGATATAGTTCTATTTCATGTATTATTTAGAACAGCCATTTCATGTCCCTTGACTTCTATTAAGCTCTGCCTGCTGCAGGCTTCTTTTCATACGCATGAGCGTCATGAGCTCCATGGAGTTGGCATACGGCTCATGTTCCTTGAAGCTGAGCAGGCGCTCGAGGCCATTTAGTGCTTGATTGATCGTAGCAGGCGGCTCAGCTGCCTCCTCATCCCCGTCCTCCTCCTGTCGTGGCAAAGGATGTGCGGCAATGATATCCATAAGCGTGACTCCTCTTCCCCCACCTCATTAGTCGCGTCGTCGTGTCTATAATCTTAGTGGCCATTTAAGAATACGTTTGTATGGGGTAGATCCAGACTTCTACTAAGCCGAAAGAGTCGTGCGGGGAAGTGCATGACAAATTTGGAATTCAGCTGTGAAACAGTGTTTACAGCCTTGATTATTAGGCAATACTCTAAATTTAATCAGGCTTCAGCCAATGACAATGGTTACGTCATGTGAGAGTTATTCAATTTAGCGATAACAGGGCGATGGCTACAACGTCGTATCGAATATCATTACAACGAGTCCGCGCTCTACTCTTATCCTGGTTTCAGGGGATTCTCGTCTTGTAATTTTAGAAAATCATATCAAACTTTGTATGTTTCGATTCATCGATTGGATCACGACCGAATTCCGTGACATTTGATAACACTTGAATTCGTAATCCTTGGTAATCCGATCTTTGATTAATCTACTCGACTTTTTGCGTTTAATTAGTAACCTTTGATAAGTCGTCTTTGTCGAAACTGACTCGACTCTGCGGATTAACAGCTTCGTAAATCTTAACCCCCCGCCCCCTTGCGTTTACCAATGTTTTGATTTGTGCTCGCTGGCCACTACAATGTCCCATTCAGCTGCTTGCCTCGGTTGATCCTCAGGGACCGAGACTGAGGACGGTCTCGTGCATTTGTGCATTCACAGTGGGCTGTATCAATGGTGAAGGTCGCATAGATTTGACGGTACGGGCGAGTCTGGTAGAGGTTAGTAATGAATAAAGCAAGAGGATTGCACCTGACGACTCGTCAACTCGAGCTGTGTAGGATGGCTAAGCAATGGAAAAGAAACCCGAATTAGCACCAAATTAATCTTTCGTCTTACGAAACATTGTAAATTACAAAGTGTATCCACGCAACTTTCTTGGCCGAATCAAAAATGTCTCCTTTTAAAATGAGTGTTGCCCTAGTCAATTGGTAATCTAATAGAGACCGTTTGAGGAGAGCTTGAGTAATTTGGATGTTCGGAGGAACATGGCACTATATATTGCAAGGAAGCTACGGAATCTTGTATATCTTAATTGACATATTGATACATTCATATATTTACCTCTTCAAAGAGTACAAGTACAGAGTCTCATCCCTAGTAGTAAATTTCACACTTAATTCCACCAATATCACCTTGATACTCATCAACAGATACATCAGCGCGGAAAACAAGGCCAATCTCACTAGCGATATCTACTTCCCCCGGAGACAAACCATAAATAGTCTGTCGTTCAAAGTATCAAATATCTCACAGTCCCTTGCGCATTGTCCAGTTTCGTGCGGAAGACATCCTCGAAATGAGATTTCTTGTTACAGCTTCTACGGCCGCATTGGGTTATCTCTTTCTCCTAGTGCCTTCTGTGCTTGGAGGGATTACTTATTGGTGTGGACCTGGGGAAGAATTTTCATCAGATCTTGCTGATTTTTACGCAAGACAAGCTGGTTCGGGCCAAGTACTGAATGGCGACCCTAAAAGTCCAGATTATGAAGTATACCGGGCACATCGTTTTTATGGAACTAATAATTCTAGAGGTTAGATTGCCTTTTTCTGCGACTATATTGTCACTAACTATTCTTCTCCAAAACTAGAACCTAGGATCTACTTGGTCCAAGTTGTTAGTGTAGAGCCAAGGATAAGAATGTGGAGATCTGAGAAAAGAGGATGGCGTGCGTGTACTATGCTTTAGCTCAATTCTCGATGTGGCATGAAAAGTCCGCATTATGGCAGTATTTGGTGTTGAAAATTCGCGCAAAACTATTGGTGAAAAAGATGCATAGCATGTTTCCAAAAGAATTTCAAGATGACAATACTGTCCTCCACTGCTCAAAACTGCTGACATTCCCATGACCTGTGATGTGACATGGCAATAATCGATTGACGTGGTTAACAATCACACCGTAATCGATTGTCTATGTAATAGCGTGGTTGGTATTTGGCGACTACTGCAGTTCTCGAGGAGCACGCTACCCACCACCAAGCTTATTTTTGTAGGTTAACGTGTTGGGTGATATGGTCTATGTATTTCCCCATGCAGCTTCTTGAAATGAGCTCTGTCTTCTCTAACACTGATGGGCCCTGGTAGTACAAGCGTTATTTTGAAAGGTTCTCTTGTTACTGTAACATACTTTCCGGGAGTGCCAGACAAGGTCTCGGCACTCTATAATCCTGTGGACTCTATGGAAACTGAGTTTGATTTTTGGTAATTTTAACCTGTCAATCACAAGCCCTGCATTTTATTTGACACGCGTAGTTGATCCCGAGTGATTCATTCCTACCAAGATGACTGCCGCAAAGGAACCAGGAGCAAGCGAAAAAAACCCCCCATTTTCGAGGTGCGGTGCCAGAAATACGTTATGGTTCGGAACTATGGGAGGCCACAAGCACTCTCTTGTTTTCTACCTACGAAACGTAAGTACACGACCAACGCGCTACTAGATCTAATTACATAACCACATTACGTAACCCGCTCCATCCCTTTTTTTTTGCATCAAAATTGAATTGCGTATGCAGCTATCTAGCTATGACACAATATCAAAGAAAAGTACAGAAAAGATGACTCAATTTACAAGAGGAGCACTCATGCCTCGGATTTCATTTGCAAGTACCACTGCGAAGATTTGGCGGCTTTTTCTTCGCCCCAAGTCAACCCTCATCCGTGAATAACCACCCAGGGGAACGTCTCAAAAACCCTGAGTTATCCAGACATGCCTCCATCATCTTCCAACTTTTCTCCGCGCGAAATATGGTCTTTGGTGTCTCCTTCCCAAGTGGAGTAGGTGCCCAAGCTACTCAGACTATACCGGAGAACACCACCAGGAGGTGGACCACAACGCCTTCCATCGTTTGCTTGTTTTTAAAGTATCAGCTGCACTCTCACAAGCGAAGTCTTGGCGCGCACAAAGCTCAATTTGTAAAATTCCTTGCCAAAATTCAGAATTTCACGCCCGTCGAGGTAATATCCTTCCTTTGTATCATCCTGTCAACTAGTCCTGATTCCTCTCACGTCCATCTTAAAGAACTGTCTCCCAGATTTGTGCGCCACGCTTTGTATCCTCCGTCGGGTATAAATATCGGCGTGGGCGTGTATTTGGCGACCAGCTGAGGCCAGAGAATAGTCGAAGAGTGGTGTGGTCATCGGGATGAGGATGTACTTGGTCGTACTTGTAGACTTGATGAGACGAAGTTAGGAGTCAAACTCGTTGGGAGCGAAATAACGACATGGAGGAGTAATTTGGGTTTTTGCCTCATGGGCCAACTTCTTTGATATTGCGAAATTTGACTGAACTTGGCTCTGGGAGAATATTTCACTCCCAGGTTCGTAGAGGACACCGCGTACAGGTGTTCAGTCTTGCACTCCTAGTGAGTTAGTCCTTGGAGGCACAAGATTAGTGATATTTCGCTTTCCTCATTCAGAAAGAGGTGTAAAAGGTCTAAAGAACTCAGTAGTACTTGAAGTCGATAATACAATGGGAATGAATAATTTTCTCCGCGAAGCTAATCTACTGCATCGTATTCTGTCCTTTGTGTCCTCTGCGTAGACTAGTATTAACTCTCCTCTTTGGATATCTGAGAATCATCCTGTTTACCCAACTCACCTCTTCTTTACCATACTCTCCGTCTGGTAAGTAACCCCCTTGATACCTCCTCATGCGCCCCATTCGAATTTCCAGGAGCGTCGCTCTGCCATAGCCTAACCTCGAAGATGGTGTGTTACTAGTGACGAGTCTTGATCTGGGTGAATCCTGTCACGAGATGTTTTATTTCTTCACAGTCTCCATGCTGCTTTGCGATGTCATGAATTGTCTTTAGACCTGTACATCCAAAAGGGAAGATGTAGTGACTATTTATTGCTTCCATATTTTGGTGTCAAGCTCCAGATGCAGTCTCGCTTGCAATTTTTAGAGTGCTTTTTCTAAGTCATGTATAGGTTCATAACCTCACAAATACGATTCGACATTGTCTAATCAAATGTTCCTGGTTACCTTGGTGGTGCTCACTTACGCAAATGGATTTTGTGACGATATTTTCTGCATTCTAGCTCTATTTTCCACGCCAGCCCTATGAATCAATTGACAATTTATCCTTGTGTTAGATATCAAACAAGCACTATCAGGAGCTTCTCGTCTTTGTCCCAAAATCTAGGCTACTCACGATTCTTTCGTTTTTTCGGGTTAGTTACAGTCGATATTGGTGTTGAAGAAAAAAGCGGAAATGTATTGTCGAGCAGGCAAACGAGTCTGATAATTCCTTTCTTCTGGGCTGATTGTAGAGTTGGCGTCTTACCCGTAGTAAGATTAGAATTATGAGCTACAGATGGTTTTCGACTTATGTTGTGAGTAACGACTACACCGCGGACTTGGTTCTGATTATCTATTATGATTTCGTAGAAGATAATTTGTGCTTTGAGAAATATTAAAAAAATTCACTCAAAGCTTCATGGAACTTACGTTTATCCTTTATTACCACTCGTTTGCTCGAAATTTTCCTCTTCCATGGACCATCAACTTCACTAGATGTGTCCTTTACTTCGACAAAACCACTCATGAATTGGGGTAAGTTACGAGTTGAGTGAAGTTGAAGCTCTGTTTGTTCCCATGATAATGATCCGCAACGAACGATAGGCTCAGCCGAAACATTTTCCATCTCAAAATATGTGATTGCTGGGACATCGGGTACTTTTGTACAAGACTCAAATGCACGTGTTTGTGTATTGTAATAAAGCACGTCTAAGAGTTCACAGCTATTATTAAAAATTATTCTTTCGACATTTTTCCTTTCTTTACCTAGAACCAGACTTAGCGAACCAGGTCGGTGAGGAAGATTTGGGTCAGTTCGAGAAAAACTTAGAATAGGTACCTTGAGCATTTTTGGATAAGGCGAAAGGAAACAACCATTCATATATCAATTTTTCATCATCATCATCTTCAGTGTGAACAAGGGGTCGTTTCGAATCTTTCCTTATTGATATGAATCCATTACAAGCTGCTTCTCGAACCGATTCAACTTCACTGAACTGGTATATTTTCTTTTGACAATAATATCTAGGTTCGGTTGACTCAACCATTCTTCCTTCAATCAATGAAGCATGGGCTGAGATTAAAAGTATCATGAATACGGCGGTTATCCATAAAGACTGGCCTCTGAAGATGTGACGTAGACTGCTCATTTTCAAAGATTTTCAATTTGGATATCTCGGAATGATAGTGATGCGGCTTTCCAAAGGAGTCAAATGCAAAATTCATTGCACATGGAGCACTATCAATTACTTACAAATACCCTATCCTAGTTGTCATTCTTTGTCAACTAATTCTCAAAGTTTGAGGACTCTTAATATCATATGGACCGTGCGCCCGTGTATTTCGGTAAATGGACATTGAGGGTCTCATTTAAAGTGAGTCGTAAGCCAAGCTCTAGGCTTGTCCATACTGTGCAAGTGTTCTCAAATTGGAACGCCCGAATGAAAGTCGGTTATGGTTCATTTTTAGATTGTACCAATTCTTTTGTGTGTAAGATATTTCTACGAGAGAGGTAGAATTTGTCCAAGGCCACATTTGAAATTATTGTAGATTTCATCGTGTGGTACACATTTGCCGGGTAGCGAAGGAACGGAAGCCAACAGTCATGCAAATGAAAATGCAGGGAGTAGCTTCCAGGGGTCTCATGAATCACCAGGAATTTGCAAGTTGATCCTCGGCAGATTGTAGAATTTAGGAGGGCAAAGACTGAATACCCTTGCACGCTCTCTCACGAAATGGAGAGTGAAATATTATCAATAAGCCAAATTCAGTCAAATCTCGCAATATCGAACACGTTGGCCCACGAGGCAATACTTCAAGACTTTCTTACGAATTTAATTCTCCAATCCTACAAGATCTATCCACACCAAAACCTCATCAAGTTTATATTAGCGACCCAGAACATCCTCATCCCAATGACCATACCTCTCGCCGACTATTCTCTGGCCTCAGCTGGTCGCCAAATACACGCCCACGCCGATATCTACGCCCGACGGAGGAAGCTAAGCGTGGCGCACAAATCTGGGAGACAGTTCTTTGGGATGGATGTGAGAGGATTCAGGACAAGATCGCAAGATGATGCGAAGGAAGTATACAGACTCGACAGGCATGAAATTTCGATTTCTGGTAGATAGTTTCACGAATTGAGCTTTGTGCGCGCCAAGACTTTGCTTGCAAGAGTGCAATTGACACTATAAACACAAGCCAACGATGGAGGGTGTTGTGGTCCACCTCCTGGTGGTGTTCTCCGGTCTAGTCTGAGTAGCTTGGGCACCTACTCCACTTGGGAAGGAGACACCTCAGATCACATATCGCGCGGAGAAAAGTTGATGGATGACGGAGGCATGTCTGGATAACTCAGGGGTTTGGAGACGTTCCCGTGGGTGGGTATTCACGGATGAGGGTGAACTTTGGGTGAAGAAAAAGCCGCCGTAACTTCGCAGTGGTACTTGCAAATGAAATCCGAGGCATGAGTGCTCCTCTTGTAAATTGAGTCATCTTTTCTGTACTTTACTTTGATATTGTGTCATAGCTAGATAGCTGCATACGCAAATAAAATCTGATGCATAAAAAAGACTAACTTACTGAACAATATGCAAATACGAGATATGGTTCAAGGTAGGAAAAGTTTTTTTGGACTACAAAAAGTGCAATAATATGTATCTAAACCGAGGCTGGGCCAACAGCAAAGATACCTGAAAGGATAGTGAAACCCCTCAGAAGTATTCAAAGAAAATGCTTAAAGCTTGTTGCAAGTGCCTACAATTCTACTAGCAGCAGAGTGGAAGAGCACGAATCTTCCGTCCTCCCTATAGAGATATGCCTAAAACAAAGGAGGGTCCAGCACGCCGGACTATCAGATACAATACCAGTTCAGGAGACAATTCGATCGACATGTAAGAGGATAAAGCTGAATGCAAACGGGAGAGAATCTCCACATGCCTTGAAAAAGATTAAAGATATCGCCGAATGGACAAGAACTTGCGAAAGAGAAAAGGAGAAGGGAAAGCAGAAAGAAGCTGGAAAGATAGCGGCCTTTCAGGAGTGGAAGGGTTCAAGAACAAGCCAGAACAGGAAACAGCGCCCTGACCGATCAGCATCAGCCGATCCAGAACATTGGAAAGCGGCAAATATATTTACTGATGAACATACAGGCAGCACCAAATTGATCTTCAAAGATACACTCTTAAAAATCAACCGTGACCTGACCAGGGCCCAAAGTATTGTCGCCATTCAGCTAAGAAGCGATCATATCGAACTCAATCCTTACCTGTGCAGAAGAAAAGTTCCCTAAGTAGAAAAGGCAAGCTTTCAATGTGGATATCCGCTGCAAAATGTTAAGCACATGGTGTTGGCGCGTCCGCAGTGGCAAAATGGAAGAGGCGACTTTCTTCGACGAGCTAAAGACAGGTTATTTGATGCCATGATGAACAGCCCAGAAAATGTGGCTAGAATCACACAGTGGATACTAAGCAAAGGGTGGATAAAACAATTTCTATTTGCAGAGGAAGTCGAGGTAGCAATTTCGGATATAATAAAACGATCTAGAAGGGGAGAGGACAGAATCCACACTGCCTGAACAGTGTACATTGCACTTTCTGAAGGTAAACTAAATAAATTGATAAGAAAATAAATAGATAGGATCAGGGGGTTTTCACCAAACTGGTTTTCTCCTTTGTAAATAGTGAAGATAGTCACCTACATGGCCCTATAGGTTGCTTGATCTGGTTAAATGAGATCAAAATCAAAATATGTAGCTTACAAAGACAAATTCTTCGCCTTCCAGTGATGCCAGTGTAATCACTCAGTATGCTCTGCATATCTGGGATAGCCAGGAAGAATCGCATCCAAATCAAAGTCGAAATCACTCACAAGCACATCTAAAATCGACGACTTCTTGTCAATTTCGGAACTATCATTCGCACGCGAGTCCTCCACCTTAATCTTACCACACCACCTCGCCTCAAATACCGATAATAGCCTTACTCCAATTGCAATCGGGCATTTGCCTCATCAAAAACCGGCTAACTCCCGCTACACATTTACGACGCTATGGATACCCGCGAGGAGGAAATCAAGTCGTAATCTACAAAACCCGGGTCTTGGTCTATGGGTGATCGTTGCTCTAATGGGGCTTCACATCTTGAGGGAGGATAGGCAGCTGAGACGTGGAACGCACAAGTGAAGTGGTCACAAATGGGCATGCTGGGACGCACATTTTTCGAGTGTTTTCGACTTAAGGGTGTCTATGGGCGCAGAGGCAACGATGGAAGGTGTCTTGATCCGCCGCCTGGTCATCATCTTCCCGAAATAAAGTCTGGGTAGGCTGGACATTTACCTCACTCGAGAAATGGAAGACTGTGAGGCCATATCTCGTATTGTGGCTATATACAAGATGACAAAGGCATGTTAGGGTAGCCAAAGGTTATTCCTGTGTTCCCTTTGGTGGATATTAACGTTTGAGAGAAGGGTGAAAGTCCTTAGCACCAAGGTCTCGGGTGGTATCAAGGAATGCACCCACTATTGAAAGGCTATGCTGAGCTGGAATGACGTACCGTTAGGATGAAGGTATGGAAGGAGGTAGCTATGGCTTTAAGAGAAGTAAAGTTCGTGAGTTATACTCTTAGGACTTGGATCAATGGACGAACTTGAGGATATTCCCTGGTATTCTCAAGTGTGTAAATAATATGGAGATTGTTTTAATTTCCTATTGTATGAGTTGCTTGAGTTATCTACGTGACAGGACCTTCTTCTATATACATGAATAAGGGGGTTCTGCTGTTACGGTTTGACCGTTGTTTGAGCTTAGGTGGATACCTAAGCCTGTTACTAAGAATTCTTACTATGAGGCTGTATGAGGGGGAGATGAAGCTGAGGGAACGGGACTACTACTCAGGAGGCTGAAGCGTTATTACAACTTAGTGACACCTGGAAATACGTGGCTGGGTAAGAATTATTGTGCCTAAGGACAAGTCACTAGTCTGTAGATTTACGAGGAGGATTAACTCCTATAAATACCTGTTAGTAGTAGCTAGAGTTAGCTTTTCTCCTCATATAGTTTATTAAATCAATTTATTCATCACCAACTCGGTTTCTGTCACATCTGCACACTAGTGGATGTTCCAACATCTGTCCTTGTCTAAGCGAGAAAGGAAGGATGTGAGAGATCCTAGCGCCAATAGATACCATTAGGAATCTATTGTGAAATACTATGTCATACCAATGAGTGATGATTTAGGTCAATCATATCCCATGGCGCATGTGCACATTATTCTAATGTGAACAGTTTATTGTAATGCAGTCATGTTACTCCCTTAATTACAACACTTCCCCTCAGGACTGCATCTTACAATAGCCGCGAGACGTTGATGAGTCGGCTTAGCTAATTGCTTTGTTAGGATATCGGCTAAGTTGTTCTCAGATGGAACATATTCCATCTTGAATGTATTGTCGATATGATTACGAAGGAAATGATATCTGATGTCAATATGTTTCGAGCGTTGGGATATTTTATGATTCTTAGCCAGATCAATTGATCCAGTAGAGTCCGCATGCATTAGCATTTCGTAGCTTTGTTCGAGTTCGGTTAGGGCGTTTTGCATCCAGATCATATGACGAGCTGCGTCAGACAGAGCCATATATTCAGCTTCCGTTGTTGAAAGAGCAACCGTTTTCTATTTTCTGGAGCTCCAACTAGCACTTGCTTCCCCTAAGCGAAAGACGTATCCTGAACATGATTTTCGATCATCAATGAAATTTCCATATGAAGAATCAGAGAATCCGTGAAGGACAGAGTCGTTTGCGCGTGGGAAATGAAGGGTCCAGTCAGATGTTCCCTTTAGGTACCGAAGGACTCGTTTTGCTGCTGCGAGATGCTTATGATTGGGACATGAGGAGAATTGAGAGAGGAGAGTGACTGCATGAGCAAGGTCAGGTCGTGTACCTATGCAAGCATACATTAAGGATCCAATGATTGATTGATACATGGTTGGATCGTCTATTTGATCTTACAGTTGTCCTTTTTGAATTTGGGCACTAGGTTCAAGAGGTGTGTCAACTGGGTGACAATTCAGAATTCCGAATCGATCTAGGATTTTTGTGATGTATGCTTTTTGGTTTAACGATATGCCTAGCTTTGTGATGTCGACCT